CTAAAGCAGCAAAAAATGATGAGACAAAAGCACCCAATATATTTGGTTTGGAGTAGTCTGAACCCTTGATTTATCTCTAATTGATATTCTTTATACCAAAAAAAAAAATGTAATTGATCTTTTTATTTTTCCTTTTTATTCAAATATATCAAATGTGTTTCAAAACATTTTTTGACCATATTCTCATATTGTTAGGCCGTCAACCATCATTTGCAACTGTTTCTTCCAAAGGTTTTGGCATGTAGCTTGGTAAATCACAAAAAACAAACAAGTTTCTGGAATCCTTGAAAATAGAAGGTGAACTGATAGTTGAAGATGTGCAGTCAAAGGTAAGCCAATCCAAAGTGGCCATAGCTCCATATACTGATCTTTTTACTTTGACTTTTGAGGAGAAACTCAACATCACATTAAAAGTGATGGTGGAATCAGTAACTTTGATATTTAAAGGACTTTTTCACTTCAAATTCTTAGCCAAGAAGATGCAATCATCCAAGTTTAGGTAATAGTTTGGTAATCATGCTAATTTCTCTTCATATTTCAATCAACCACATAATAGTAATAATGTTGTGTTAAAATGCAATATACCTTTCTCCTAATGCCTCTATAGCATTGAATTTACCATTTTTTCATGTATTATTTTCAAATTGAAATTGGGGGCAATTCTAGAATTTACTTCAAAACACGTATTAACATGAACAAGGAATTGTTTTCCATTGAGAACATGCTAGGGTTAAAGAACCCTAATAGGCCTTACCGCATTAGTCCAACTGGGGATGTAGCTAGCGTTGGTCTTTTGAAGTGGAGAATGAAAAGTGCAAATAGTCAATGGTGCTATTGACCAATGGGTTTCAAATATAATGCTATTTATTCTTGGTATGTATTTGTTGTTTATACTTTGATGGCTAATTTTATTTTTTGTGCATTAAAGTCAATTGTTGGCCTTCGTCTTTTAAATATGAAACTTATGTTAGCATTAAATGTAAAGCTTCAGTCATATTAAATTAATGTCCCATATTAACTTAATTAGAGAATATTATTGGTGTTAGTTGCAACATCATTCCTCTGAGAGATGGAGCTCCTACCAAATTCTCTCAAGGTATTTAGACTTTACAATCTCAAACACAATGCAATGAGACGACATGAATGCAACATAAAAAATAGATATAAAGATAATACGATTTAAAATTTTAGTAATAACTGTATATATTTAACAAAATGAAAAAAATACATTTTATGTTTTCATGTTAAAACGAATTTTGACATATAATTTTCATGTAAAACACAGTATGAATACACAAATTTCAATATTTTACATGATATAAATATAAAAGGATATTATCCCTTAAGGGACCAACTAAAAAATGGTAAAAAAATTATTATTCTATTTATCATAAAGAAACATAATAATAAGCTTTAATAATGACATAAAATAAAGTTCAATAATGACACAAGTATATATCATTTTTACAAAGAAATTAAAGTTTTTTTATGTCATTTGTTTTAATGTTAGAAGCTTTAAAGTATTTTTAGCAAAATATTTTTTAGCATCCACTGAGTTGTTACTCTTTTGAATTACACATTTGCAAGAAAAGAGTAGCTTGATGCATTATGAAACAACAAAGTAAGCCTTATTTATTATACTTTATTCTTTATCTTTATTGATATTATAAAAACATAGGTTTGCAAATTCTATAATTATTAACAAAGTTGCAAATTGGATTGCTAAGTATCCAAAAAATGAATTGTTTAGATGATTATGTTTTTAAACCATTTATATGTATTGGAGTTGTTAACTGAACTATTTAAATAACTTTTCAAGAACATAAGTTAAAAGTTAAATGATTATATTGTTTTTGTTTTCTTATGCTACTCATTTATATACATTTTTCTTTATCACGTGGTGTGTTAGGAATATTTAATAGTTTTAATTTTCAATATTGAATTTCTTTTTCTATTTTCTTTGATTTTGCATGTTTGTTTTCTATGGATGAAGAATATTTTGTTTTACATATTATATGGTTTTGGTTGATGTATATTAGATCTAGTGGATTTGGTGGAAGGCTTACACATACATAATCATTTTTAGTTAATGCATGTTATTACTATTCATATAAATAATTAGCTATAGTTCTGAATTTGTGAGCAATATTTTCCTTTTTGCATCTACAGCAGGCCTTTAAATTAAATTATTTATTTGCTTTGATAAGAGTTATTGTTATGTAGGTCATATAATTCACTATGGTGCTTTTCAATTCTTATTGTTGCAAATACCAAGATCACCAGTTGCAATTATTGCTAAACTAGGAATTAAACAAGCCTTTGTTGCAGACTTCCTTAATTTTGACCCAACAGAAATCAAGATACTCTAATTAAGTACCTTTTCCATCACTCAATAAATAAGATGAGTATTCTGTCACCACAAAAATAGTATAATGTACTATTGATGTACAAGTTATCGTGTTTTCTAAGTTACTCTTTACCTTTTATGACTATATATATCATCATACCTGAAATTATTAATCGAGAATTGCCTCTAATATTTGTTATGCCATTATTTTTCCTCAATATTTGGTGTTTTTAAAGTAATAAATCTTTTTTTTGTGTCAAAATAGTAGGTCCTAATTTGGTGTTGAGTTACAAATACAACTATTTTGTACTTACTTGTTAGGTGTCAATCTTAATATAAACTTTAAATTCTAAACCTAAAAATCCTTAAATTTTATTACAAAACTTTATTTTACTTTCGAGGCAAAGTGCGGGCTTTCATCTAGTGTTAAATAAAAGTAAAAGATATATGAAAATAATTTATTAATTTAATTTTAAATTGATATCTTTAATGATTGTTGTCCGTTTTATTTTATTATCACTATTTTTATAATCAAATAAATTATCAGTGAATAAAAAATAGATAATTATATAAATCATTAAGTAAATAAATATTTATTATTTTGTTTTGAGATGTATAAATATACTAATATTTTTTAAAAATAATTATTATTTAGAAATAAAAATAATCATATAAAAGAAAATATATATAATAAAATATATAATCAATTGATTTATTAAATAAAAGAAGTACATTAATAGAAAATAGATACATAATTAATTATATATAAAACCAAAAAAGTGAGATTATGAATAATTAAATAAAAATATTATTTGTTAAATTTAATAAGAATAAATATGCTATTACTAATTTTTAGCAAAATTATAATTTGAAACAAAAATAATTTTATTAATTTCAATTATTTATTAAATTTATAAATATCGAATACAGTATAAAGTTTATTATAAATAATTTTTAATCTAATGTTTTTAATAATCATTTTTTTATTACAATTCACTTCACTACCATTGATAGTTTAAATCCAAACACATATTCCATCATTAATTTTAATCTCACAGCTCTAGTTATTAGTTTTACCATTATAACAACTAATCTCATTATCACTATTGTTTTCAATCTTATCAGAATCTATTGCACCATCCATCTAAATAAACCCTTACTAGGGATTTTTTTAATATATTAAATTATAAAAAATCAAACAAAGTAAATTTTATGTTGTGAAATAACTTCTCAATACTTTTTACACACTTTTTCAATGTATACAATTAAGTTATCATTCAACTATTGATTTTTGATTTGATTATGCAAACAAATCTTTAAAATAGTTATTATTGAAAATATTCTCTCTAGTATGGCAATAATAACTAGTAGAATCAATACTAGTCTAAACAACAAATAAATTGAATCATTGACAGCATTTTGAGTTTTATCTAAAATACATAACATTTCATAAATTTTTTAGTGGGGGCTCCATTGGACCTCATATAGCTTCACCCCTTATTTTAACTAAAAAAAATATGTTCCTACATTATGATTATATAAAAACACAATTTTATATTTAGTTATCTAAAAAAAAAATAATTAAATTGATCAAATTAAGTTTGGTCAGTTCATTTTCAAAACTAATTAATTTGATTTGATTAATGAAAATAAAATAAATTTATTTGGTTAATTTAATTTTAAATAATTCAATATAAAATTAATTAAATCAATAGAATGAAACTCCTAGCCAAACTATAATTGATAAAGGAGTGGAGTTACTGCACACAAACCCTTTAGCAATAACTGTAGCTAATGGAGAGAAGCTTTACAATATAGTTCTGATATCAATTTGTCATAATTTTAATTGATAAAAGTTCAGAATAATAAAATATGATAGAAATTGTAATATTTGCTATGATGATTAATCAATATTTTTTAATGAAATAATATTTTTTAATATTATGTTTCGAATCATAATTTTATTATAAGATATTTTTAAAATATTTAATTAATGTTGATTATTAATATATAAAATAAATTATATTATAATATATTAACATTAGCATATATTTAAATATGTAAAATTATATACTTTCAAAAATTAAAATTCATAATAAAAATTTACCCTACAGTATCACAATTTTTCTAGCATCATATATATGCAACTCTTTTAAAATTTTCAAAATACAAATATATCAATAAAAGGAAATATCATATCACATACAACATCATTATCATAAAGCATTTAAAGTTCTAAGTAGTACTATTTCCTCAAGAATACAAATGTACCAAATTTATGATGAATGTTGTAAAAGTGCAAACAATCATCTTCGGAGCATTTTTATGAAATTTCGTCTGATATATATATCGTATCTGATAATTTAAAAATAATGAATATATATATCATGTTATTAAGATAAATTTAATAAAAAAATTCAAAAATATATTTAAATCTAAAATTTTTATTATTCTTATCAATTAAAACTATCTCTTATTGATTATTTCATTCAAATTAAATATTACAAAAAATTTATCCAAAAATCAATCTCGAAAACCGCAACTGACTTAGAATTGAATGGTGAGTTAATCAAATAGCATCCCTGGTCTTAAGGGATGAAACAATCCAACTTCAACCAATTTGGTAACACTCATTGGAAAACACTCCATCTATCATCACACTTGTCGAGCAATGGACTGTTACTGATTAGTATAAATATCCCCTCGTAATAATCAGGTTTGCATCACCAAAGTTCAGCATTTATTTAAGATTTACTTGTTAGGTGGTATTTTTGTCTTCCAAGAAAATGAACCAATCCCAGAATTCAGGCTTCCAAGCTGGTCAGGCTAAGGGCCAAGCTGAGGTGAGTTTAATTGAATATTAATTTATATATTTTTATCGTATTTTATATAAAAATTATATATTATAATTTTTATTAAAATTTTTATTTAATTTTTTATAAAATTTCAAATTATTATATATATTTTTATATATTTTTTATGTCGTATTATTAAATATAGTGCATTGTCATTGTGTTAATTGTTTTTATTTTCTTCTTAGGAGAAGACCAGCCAGATGACGGACAAGGTTAGAGATACCGCACAATCTGCTATGGAATCATCCCAACAGGTCCTGGTCCAACAATTCTTTATTTTTCAGAAACATCTTTTAGATGCAAGAAAATTATCTCTTGGTGAGTTGAACTTGGAATTGTTTTGCAGGCTGGTCAGCAGATGAAGGCTAAAGCACAAGGAGCTGCTGATTCCGTCAAGGATTCAATGGGGATGAACAAATGAAACTGCTAGTTGATCCAACCACACCACCTCTTGGGCAGGGCAACTATTTTCTTTTGAGCTTTTGATTTTTGCTGTTTCTTTTGGCAACATTTTCTTCATTTTGCTCTAGAATTTTCGGCTTCAATCATTTTAATAAGTTGTTGAGCCATATTTACATTAATAAATTTGGGTTGTGCTAATGGTGACAGCTGCTCGGAAGTGGCTAGAGATTGTAGAAAAAGTTTCCATTTTTCTGTTTCTGTCCAGAAAAGAATAATGCAAACGATCCAGTTGCTACAAAATCTCCTGTTCATTTGTTGTTTTTAATAACTCATAAGACAAATTCAAAACAAAATATGCGGAGAAACGCTGTAAATATACCTTAAGATATGCTAAAACTTATAATAACCTATGAATGAAAATTTATGAAACAAAGGCTAAACTTGATTGAAATCTTTTTGATACCATTATTTTCCAAAGTAATTAAACATTCATAAAATAATTTTTATTTTTTACAAAAAAAATCAAAATTAATGAGTCACAGATATTGAGTCTACATTTTAAATTTGTTGAATAATATTTTTTAAAAATAATTATATGACTCAAATAAATTAAATTTTATATTTCAATATCATTTTTTATAAAAAAAATTTTCAGATATTCAACAGAATCATCATAAAACAAAGCTTTAAAAGCCCTTCTCCACATATTGAAAGCAAATAATATTTAATTTCAACTTTTTATTTTTTAGAGACAAAACATGTCATTAAATTTAAAATCAATTGATTTGAGTTAAAACGAAAATTTATATAAACTACAATGCTTCTTGTTGTAAGAAGTCAGCCCAATGCGAGACATGGGACATTCGAGGCATGAGTCCCACTTACCTAGGTCGCTCAAATATCATTTTTGATGGGCTCATTGCTAGTTGCTCTGGAGGCGAAGGAAATATATATTTTATATTTAATTCAAAATAAAAAACGTTATTAATTTTAAATAAATTTATTTGAATTCATACAATATCCATATTTACTACAATGCACGCACTCAAACTTCTTTACGTGAGAAACCAATATCACCTGGTTCAAGCCAGGCTCTTGGGCCTGATGGGCAGCCCAGTCAGCCTAGAGATTTACCTACTAGCGCTCATTATTATTTTTACTTGTTTTTGCAACAAATGAAAGCATTTTTTATTTTCCTTCAAGCTTCAACCCCAACACCAGGCAATTCCAAACCCTATCAAATTCCTTTGCGATACCCATGTTTTGTTCTAATGCAAAAGCAAGAATAAAGTCAGAACTCACAACTCAAGAATTCATAAGCTCAACTTTATATGATAAAGAAACAAGGTATGCAAACTATCTTCTCTTTATTTCTTTCAATCATGCTTCTTTTGTTTCAGCCACCCTCAAAATGATTTAATCTCATGATTCATTGATTAATTGGAAAGTTTTTTAGGATACCCTTTTCAATTTATTGCAAAATATTGGTGGGTTTTAAGTTTCTCCTCATGATCTTGTTGACATTTTTTTTACAATTTTTATAATTTGGCCTTTTTTCTTTTATTTTTTGAATGTGTTTTTTTAATTCAAAGTATAATGGTGATTGATTTAATGAAAATTTTTAAAATTTTTTGTCTTGTAGTTTATAAAATTATATCATTTTTGTTTGTTTAGCCTTTTCCTGTCTTGGATTATACTTCCCTTGTTGTCTAAAATAATTATTGTGATGAGTTTGGCACATTGTTCTTATTGATTGTGATTTTCTATCTTGATTTCTATATTGATTACTGTAGCATGTGGTATATGCTCATAATCTTTTGATAATCAAAGTTGACATCTTTTTGCTTGTATGAATACTATGCTGTAAATATCATTTTTAATAGCTGCAGCCTGCAGCAAGGTCTGCTGGTTTGATACTTTCATCATTATTTGCATGTGGAGTATGTTAATCATTTGATTCATCATTTGCTTAATTTTTATTTGGATGGCTCTTTCAGGAAAGATTGAATGATCCAATGGAGTCCATGTTGGGGAAAAGAAGTCTTAGTAGTAGTAAATCCTTGTTCTAGACGTTCCCCTCAGTTACAACATTGAGGTCCTTTGACCTCATGGTGGAATCAAGAAATTTAGATCTGTTGCTTATTCCAGTGTGAGTTTTCTTTTTTGAATTTCATCTTCTTAAAAAAATTCCTGAAATTTAGTAAAAATTTGTTTCAGCCATCGCATCATCCGCCCGTGAAACCAGTCTGTTTAAACTTCTAGTTTCTAAAGCATGCCATTGGGCATTGACCTGCTAATGTGAAACAATTATAACAGGAGTTTGATCCTTATGCCGAGAAATGAAGCTAATTTAGCAACTGATGGCTAACTCAGCCCAATTCACTCAAACCATTTTCACCATTATCATAAAGGGTCATTGGAATAATCTTTTGAAACCCAAAATTTGCCTCCAAATAACCTCGACCACCGTTAACCAACTCCTTCTCCAGCTCTCTCTTAGTGGTTGCAGTCCTTCACTTTCTTGGTCTTTCTTTAAATGGGTAAAAAATTCTGTTCCAAATTACAACCACTCTCTGCAATCCACATGGACAATGGTTCACATTCTTACGAAACACAAACATTTCAAGACAGCACACGAGTTGCTCGACAAAATCTCAAACAAAGATTTCTTGTCATCAAATTCTGTTTTGAATGCTTTGGTGAGTGCCCATTCAGACGTTGAAGTGAATTCTCATGTTTTAAGTTGGTTGGTGATATCTTATGGGAAATTGAGAATGACCCAAGATGCCTTACAGGTTTTTGAGGTAATGAGAGTTCATGGTTTAAAGCCTCATTTACATGCTTGCACTGTGCTTTTAAATTGTTTAGTTAAAGAAAAATTGATTCATAATGTCTGGAAAGTTTATAAGAAAATGGTTAGACTTGGGGTTTTTGGGAATTTACATGTTTATAATGTGTTGGTTCATGCTTGTTGCAAGGGTGGTGATGTTGAGAAGGCAGAAAAATTGTTAAGTGAGATGGAATTGAAGAATGTTTTTCCGGATCGTTTCACATACAATACGATCATTGCATTGTATTGTAAGAAGGGTATGCATTATGAAGCTTTGGGTGTGCAAGATAGGATGAAAAGAGCAGGGATTAGTCTGGATATTGTAACTTATAATTCACTTATTTATGGGTTTTGTAGAGAAGGTAGAATGCGAGAGGCCCTAAGGCTTTTCAAGGAAATTAAAGGTGTTACTCCTAACCATGTGACTTATACTACTTTGATTGATGGTTATTGTAGAGTGAATGATCTGGGAGAGGCTTTAAAATTGCGTGACATGATGGAAGCTAAGGGGATTTATCTTGGAGTTGTTACTTATAATTCAATTATTCGTAAGTTGTGTGAAGAAGGTAAAATAAGGGAAGCTAATCGGGTTTTGAACGAGATGAGTGAAAAGAAAGTTGAACCTGATAATGTCACTTGTAACACATTGATCAATGCTTATTGCAAGATAGGAGATATGGTGTCTGCTATGAAGGTGAAGAACAAGATGGTGGAGGCTGGATTGAAGTTGGATCAATTAACATTCAAGGCTTTGATCCATGGGTTTTGCAAGGTGCGTGAAATGGATAGTGCTAAAGACTACTTGTTCAACATGGTTGATGCAGGGTTTCCTCCAAGTTATTGCACCTACTCCTGGCTTGTTGATGGGTACTGCAACCAAGGAAATGAAGAAGTACTTATGAAACTCCCAGATGAATTTTTGAAAAGAGGCCTTTGTGTTGATGTTTCAATGTATAGGGCACTCATAAGGAGGTTTTGTAAGCGAGAAAGGGCTGATTGTGCACAAACAATATTCACTCTTATGCAAGGAAAAGGTATATCTGGAGACAGTGTAATATACACTAGCCTAGCATATGCTTACTGGAAAATGGGGAAGGTGAATGCAGCTTCAGATGTGTTAAATGAAATGTATAAGAGAAGGTTGATGATAACTCTCAAAATCTATCGATCTTTCAGTGCGTCATATGCTGATGATAATAGCATTTTAGGTTTCTTTTGGAACCATGTGGTTGAGAGGGGATTAATGTCTAAGAGTATTTTGAAGGATATCGAGCAGGGGAAGTTACATTCATGAATTCGCCTTTCAGCTACCTGTTCATTTTCATATTTGAATTTGTAATACTATAGAGCGTCTTGTTCACAATGAGACACATCTCTATTAGCCTTTCATGTGGCACTACTGATGTTAAGATATAAACTAGTTTTAGACAGTATAAATTTCTTTAAAACTTAGAAATTTAAAGCACTGAACTTCAGTTTCTACAGCATGAAAGTAATTTTGTTTTGACTGACAAAACGACCAAAGACCAAGCTAGTGAGGCCAAGATCAAAGTTCAGGTAAGCTTAGCTTTTCTTTTCTGTTTTTACTTAACAGTTATGAGTATGATTATATTTTGCAATATACACTGTAGACCATTTTCCTGTGTTTGCTTCAGGAGATGCAGTAAATGGTAGACAGGAGTGTCAATTCTACTCAATCTGCCTGGGACTGAATACAACTACGGAAGAGGTATGCACATTGATAAAGCAATATCCATTGGCTTGTACTATTATTACTGATTCAGCACAATTAGGTAACTGAGGTAACAATAATACTACTTCCACTTTGTACCAAATTTGGCTTTAATACCGGACCTTACTTATTGGTAGTGATGACAGATGAACTTTTAGTACATAAATTAGAAAGAAAATTTGTGACAAAGCTTTTGATAAAGTCACATTGAGCATTATTAGGAAGTTGCTGTAGATGACTTGGATGATATCACAGAATTCCAAACTCATTCATGATTGCTCTTGCTTGCTTGCTATTACAATGACATTATTGTTTCCATGGACTTTAACCTCGAGCCTATATTAGGGTGAGCTGGAAAAACCGTCGATCAGTTTCATCTTATAATCTGCAGGTTTCTGTCAACCATTTGTGGTCTGACCATTTAAATATCCTCTTTCTAAACAATACCATGAATGGTTTCATTATGGTTGGATTGTTGAGAATATGCTGGTTAATCAAATTTGGATTTCGATGGCAGAGCCAAGTTCAGCTGTCTGTTGAGGTTTAAAACAAAAGGCTGGTTAAGAAGATTGGGGAACAAGGGCGTTAACTTCATGCAGGGATGACTACTAGAGCATGAGTTTGTGAACAATTTCAGTTTTTCTGATGTTTTATGTTATTGGATTTTCATTCTGGTTTGTTTTGTATCTTTGGAGGATGCCAGCTTTGAGCTGAGTTTTGTACAATGGTTAAAATAATTCAATTTATTTGAATTATGTAAAAATTTATCTTTGCAATATTATTACACATGCATCATTGTTGAAATTCTGCATGATGACTTGCATATTCCAAACTCATTTTTTACAAGAAAAATGCCCAAAATTCCTCATTAAGTGAGAGTTCAAGGTAAATTTGTTCGATAACAAAAAAAATTAATTCCCAATTGAGAAGCATAATATCTTAAGAGTTCACGTTACAAATTAAGCTAATTAATGTAAAATCATGCCCGCAAATTTTTTTTTTTTTTGAAATTTTTTTCTTTTTTTTAAAAATGAACAGCGATCAAAATTTAAATTCTGATTATTTTGTTAGACAAATTAAATGTCATACTAAAAACTCCATTAATTGAGTGGAAATAAGAATTTAATTTCGATTAATATGGATTTATACGATTGTAATGTGTTAATATATTATTTTCTTTAAACTCAAGCATATTTTAGGTCTCTCATTTTAATTCAGTTTCATATCGATTTAAGTAAATCTTATAAAAAAATTATTTAATATATTATTGTGTAATTTTTTAACTTCACATAAAAATTTTAAAAATTGACACATATTTTATATTTTATATTTTTTATAAATTTTAAAAAATATGTATTATTTTTACAAATTTCATTTATAAATTTTAAAAATTTACTATAAATGTATTTGATAATTTCCCAGCTTATATTTTTGAATCTACCACTTTATTTCCTTGATTATTCGGTCTTTTTTTTTTTTGGATTGTGTCTTTTAATCGGAGCCGTTCAAATTTTGGTCTAAATAAACGGGTTTGGATATAATTCGGATCCTAAATGGCAAAATTCAGTCGGGCATTTATGGTTAGAAAATAAGGTTCGGGTACGGTTACCTCAAAAATTGCGGCTAAACTCTATCCGTTGCCCCGATTAGTTTGGAAAAAAGTTTTAACAGAAATAATCTCATAATCGAAACCACCATTCTTAGCGTCTTTTTTTTTTTTTCTTAATTTCATTTAATAAACCACCAATTTTGCACAATCGATAAGCTCTTCTTTGATCCACCTTCAAATTCCCCATTAAGCACCCAGGTTTTTTTTTTTTTTTCTTTTCTTTTTCATAGGTTCTTTCATGGGTTTTTTCTTTTTTAATCTCTGATTCATTAATTAATTGGAATTTTTTAGGATGCCCATTTCAATTTATTGCAAAATATCGGTGGGTTTTAAGTTTCTCCTCATCATCTACTTGTTTACGTTTTTAACGTATAATTTGCATAATTTAGCCTTTTTTTTTCCTTTTATTTTTTGAAATTTTTTTTTAATTCAAAGTCTAACGGTAATTGTTTTAATGAAAAATGTTCAATTTTTTTGTCTTGTAGTTTATAACATTATATCATCTTTGTTTGTTTAGCCTTTTCCTGTCTTGGATTGTACTTCCCTTGTTGTCTATAACTATTACTATAATGAATTTGACACATTGTTCTTATTAGTTAAGTTTTTTCTATATTGATTATAGATTGTGATTACAATTTTTTATAATAACTATGGCATGTGGTATATGCTCATATTCTTTCAATCATCAAAGTTGGTATCTCTATGCTTGGATGGATATTATGCTTTAAATATAATTTTTAATAGCTGCAGCCTGCAGCCTGTAGCAAGGTCTGTCGTTTCCTTACTTTCATCATTTTAGCCAGATTCTTTGTGATCAATAGAGTTACCTTTTAAGAATTGAGTTACTTTTGTCTTTGTTATAGTGTCTGTAAGAGTCGTCGTTAATTTCATTTACTGCTTTCAGATTCTGCCCATATATGTGATCAAACATGTTACCAATGCTTTACCATGTCAAGGGATAGGAAGTTAGATGGTGGGCCTCTTGGCATGTCATTGCTTCTTTGAAATAGTGAAATGGAAAAGAGAAGAGTCATAGATGACTATGAACCAGGACCAGTTCCTCCACAAAAACCCTTGGACAGATTTGGTTTTATAAAGCAGGATGCTAGTAGCACTCCAGAAGGTTTAGCCAAGAGTAGATTAATTGTTGAATACGAGAGGTAAGTTTTTTCTTTAATTTTTTTGTTTTAGACTCTGTTTGATGTGAGTGTAGTAGTCTCTCTTTATGATTTTATACTTCATGCTAACAAACATTAATTTTGGTTGTGTTCTATGGTGGTTAAAATTTTTCAGGGAAGCTATAAGAGTTAGAAAATGGAGGAAAATGATTGGGGTTGGTGGGAATGATTGGAAACATTATGCAAGGAGAAAGCCTCATGTCGTCAAAAGGCGTATACGGAAAGGAATTCCTGATTGTTTAAGGGGTCTTGTTTGGCAGTTGATCTCTGGCAGTCGAGACCTTTTGCTGCTGAACCCGGGAGTTTATGAGGTACTTCTTTTAATTACTTGACGGTTTACTCATTCTGTTTTAACTAACATTGTATTATTTCCGAATGTTATGGCCTTTGCTTGACTTTCCTTTCTGTCTTAACTTGGAATGTTATTTCAGCTAAGTTTTCCAACAGTCATGTGAAAAAGTTGGTCTCCTTCCTGCCTTATTATCAATTTTTGTTTATGCTATGTTTCTCGCTCAGTTTTCTACCCTCAATGCAACCTTAGGGTGTTTAATCCTAACCTCATCGATATTATATTCTTTTTACTTAATCCCCATCTGGTAATTCATGTTATTATATGTATGGACATTTGTCAAACCTACTCTTTTAAGTTTTTATGTTTCTTACATCAAATTATGATTGAGTCATAAAAAGAAAAAGAAAGAAAAGATAAAAAAGAAGATTGTGTTCGATGATTTGCACCAAGTTCCAAAACTGGTTCTTGTAACAAATTATGTAACACTGCTTCTTGTAACAAAACTGGTTTTAATGCTAGATCTTGAACTTATTGGGAGTGATGGCAGCTGAATTTTGTAGAATATAAATTAGAAGGAAAATTTCTAACAAAGCTTTTGATATGAGTGCATTGAATATTATTTGTAAGTTGCCATAGATGAATGTGAAAATATCACAGAATTCCAAACTCTCTTTATGTGCCAGGATAATTCATGATTGCCGCTGCTTGCTATTACCATGACATTCTCGTTTTCATGGAATTTAAAGCCTATATAAAGGTGAGCTGGGAAACCAGCTGATCAATCATGATTGCTGCTGCTTGCTATTATCATGGCAGTCTTGTTTTCCTGGACTTTAACCTCAAGCCTATATAAGGGTGGATAGGGAAACTAGTTGATCAGTTTCATCTTATAGTCTTTAAGCAGGTTTATGTAAATTGTTTGGTGAGGATGGTTCTGAATATTTAAATAGTGGTACTATCTAGTCCACCAAATATCCTTTTTTGAAAAATACCATGAGTGGTTTCGTTATGGTCGGAGCTCAATCCCAAGTTTAGTGACTTGGAACGTGCCATTTTGTTTGAGAAATATTCTGGTTGAATCCAATTTGGATTTCAGTGGCAGAGCCAAGTTTAGTAATGTCTGGACCTAACCCTTTTAGACATCTTATAGTGCCTAGGTTGTGAAATCAAAAACAGGTTTCAAGTGGTCATTTTGGGTTATAAAACTGTTGAGGTTTAAAACAACAATCTGGTTGAGAATATTGGGGAACAAGGGTGTAATTTTCCTGCTGGGATGACTACTAGAGCATGGGCTTTTGAGATCTGAGAAGGGTTCTCAGTTTCTCTGTTGTTTTAAGTACTTTAACTTTAATTCTGGTTTGTTTCATAACTTTATGGTTGCCAGCTTTGACCATACACTATTATTTGATTGAGGGGAGGGGGAGGGAAAAGAGGGGAAAGGAGGGGAAATATGGAAACCTATCCTTTGTTTGATAAAATTTAAAACAAGATAAAGGAAAGGGAAAGGGGTTGGGCAACCTTCCCTTTCCCTCAAATGCTTCATTTTCAATTACCCCAAATTGGAGGAAATAGAGGGGAAAGGAAAGGATTAAATTTTTTAATTATGAAATTACTTTCATACCTTTAGTTTTTTTTTTTTTTTTTTTTTTAATTTTCAAAGAATATCATAAAATTCTTTTTTTCTTTTTTAACCTTCAAATTATAACAATTTATTTCAAGATTGTTCTCATATTAGTTTAAACATTTAATTTAGAAAGGGTATATAATTGCAACAATAAATTTAATATACTCTTTCCTCTCCTTTCCTTTCCTTTACTAACATTAATCCAAACATAGTGTTAATTTCTTATAAGGCCATTGAGTAAATGTAAAAATCAGTATTTAAAATTCAAACATCATTGTAAAATGCTTATGAATTGGCATTTCAGGATATAATAGTGTCAAAATTATTTCGTCACTTGATGTAACTTTTGGGTTTATTGGATCTGGTTTTTGTCCTGCTATCTATCCTTGCTCATTGGTTAATGGAGCAGATTAATATAATATGATGTTGGGTTGATGATATTGAGTTGGATTGCTGGAAAAGTTATTTGCTCATTTGACTTTTTAGGGGGGGGGGGGGGGATTTTTTTTTATTTGAACTCAAACTGTATTCAGAGCTTAAAGGGTTTTCTTTTTTTCTTTTATAATAAAAATCTTCTTCTTTTGTTGCACATGTTCTTTGCTGATGAAACTTTATATCTGTTGCAGCAACTTGTAATTTATGAGACATCTGCTTCGGAACTAGATATAATTCGGGATATATCTCGCACCTTCCCCTCACATGTTTTCTTTCAGCAGAGACATGGCCCTGGTCAAAGGTCCCTTTACAATGTTTTGAAGGCATATTCTGTGTTCGATAGAGATGTCGGCTATGTCCAGGTTTGTCTCGTGTTTTGGCCCTCATTTATTTGTCCAAGGTAATAATGCCTTCTTTTTTTTTTGTTGTTGAAAATGCAGGGAATGGGTTTTTTAGCAGGTCTTTTGCTTCTTTATATGAGCGAAGAGGATGCATTTTGGTTGTTGGTTGCATTACTAAAAGGGGCTATTCATGCTCCTATGGAAGGATTATATCAGGTATTTCTTGTATTCTAGAAACCTATTTGCTATCTGGGAAGCATCATTTTAGGTTGTTAATGGATTATAAGGCCTTAGGAAAGATTGTGATTGCCAACTGTCTCTTACTCAGGAATTGGCGTATGGCTTCATAGTAGGTTATACCTGTTTCTCATGCCAGGCTTTAAATTCTCTCGTGTTGGTTTTATTATGAGTTCTCTGATTGAATTCATGAACTGTACCTAAATTATTTTTCTAAGGAGAATTTTATATTTTAGATTATAAAACTGGATCTATTTAGCTTTGTGTCCTTATTAGATCTTTTAGTACGCATATAGAGCCGATATCTAGGCATTCTTGTTGGACAGTGGAGCATTCTGTTGAAATGAACCAGTACTTTGAATTAGTTTTGTACTCAACCACTCTTTCCAGCCTTTTCTTTTTAGAAGTTATATTGGTCCAAATTTTGAGAACTAGGCTTTGCTTTTCTGCTTCTTCCAAAGTTATGTCCTCTTATGATGGCATAATTTTGTTTGGTTGGTAATGTGGCACATTTCGCATTCTACTCTTAGGATATAAGTTAATTGGTATTCTCAGCTGCTTTTTGATGTAATAACTGTAACACAACTTCGTTGGAGTTTATTATATGTTATCTCTTTAGGAGCTTTAATTCTTCTGGTTGCGTGTCTGTCTATTTTTCCACTGGCTTTTGGTTCATTTTGGTATTGAGGTGAGAGCCATTTTTGAATAGTATCCAATCAATTATCACTCTTTCAGTTCTCTGTAAATTTGTATGCACTTGGTAGGTGGGGCTGCCTCTTGTACAACAATACCTGTTTCAATTTGAACAATTGGTGAGGGAGCACTTGCCAAAGCTGGGTGCACATTTTAGCCATGAGATGATAAATCCAAGCATGTATGCTAGCCAATGGTTCATAACTGTTTTCTCATACTCTTTGCCGTTCCCTTTGGCTCTTCGAATTTGGGATGTATTTCTCTATGAGGTCAGTGATTGGAAATATGATATGGATTCCAGCCGTAGAATATTATGACCTGAAAATTGGTTTTGAGTAAAAATGATTCTTTCAGCCAAAAGAGAAAAAGAAAAGAGAAATCAATTTTTTATTTGCATTTTCCAGGGTGTCAAGATTGTCTTTAAAGTTGGTTTGGCCCTTTTAAAGTACTGCCATAATGATTTGGTGAGTAGTTCGGGAACTCTTATCTGCTTGAGATCTGATTAACCTTTTTCTTACTTCTCAAGTACAGTAGTTACGTTGTTCATCAGATTAAATTATCGTTTGAGAAGCTCGTTCATGCTTTACGTAACTTCCCAGAGGATGCAATGGATCCAGATACATTGCTGCCCATGGCTTTTTCGATCAAGGTTATCTCTCTCACACGCGCACTCATGATTGTTTATGGCATTAATTCTTTTAATTATTCCTTTCAAAGATCTGCATGCACCTTTCTTGTGGCACGATGATCTGTCTCTCTCTCTCTCAGCCTTGGTGATGAACATTTATTTGAATTATGTCAAGATTTAACTTTGTAATATTATTTTACATGCATCTATGGATGAACAAGATTTTATTTATTTATTGAACTAGTGAATATATTTGTGTACTTGTATGGTATACATTGTGACTTGAATGTTTTCTAGTGTATTTGTGAAGTTAATGATGAATTTCAATTATTAGTTATGTTTGGATTCATTATCAGGTATCCAGGAGCTTAGCAGAATCAAAAAATGAGTATGAGAAGCAAAATGGAAAGCTAATGAAATCTACAGAATTGATGGAGGTCCATAAACAACTGCATTGAAGGTCTCCATGGCAGGGCAGGCTACCTGTACATTCTTATTCTCACTTTTTTTTTTTTTTTTTCTTTTTCATTGTGTTAATAAAAGTGTAAGCCAAATTACCAACTTTTTTTTTTTTTAATTGATGTGTACCAATCATCCACAATTGTTATTTTCTTTCATGAGTTGATTTGCATAAAAATAACCACATTTTCATACATTCATATCTCATATGTTAGATCTTTTCTTCCTTTTGGATAAATGAAATTTGTATGTCTCCATTCAAAGGAAACATAATAAAGTGTTAATATCACTTTTTTGGCCCTTATACTTAAAAAATGTTCTTTACTTGTATTTATAAAATGTGTCATGGGATAATTGAATTATAATTTTTTATTATAATCTAGTATTTGGAGCTAATACCATTAAGAGAAGATGATGATTAGAATTGTTTTAAGGGTCGGTTTATTCATCTAGATATAAAGGTCCACCTAAATTTTAAAGGGGTTTGAGTACAAAATTGAAGTTCATTAAATAGATTTGGGGACAAATTTTAGATTTATTTAAATTTTGAGTCGAGTTGTGGACAAAAGAATTAAAATTCAAGTTTAATTTGGCTTAATCTAAATTAAATATATGTAATTAAAATATTATAATTATATAAGTATATATATATGTAAATTTATATTTTTATATTTTATTTTTAAAATTTTATTTTAATTTTTATTATATAAATTAGATTTAATTGATAGATTTTGGGATTTATTTTTTTAATTTGAGTCGGGTTTAAAAATATTTTGAGATTCAAAATATTCGATTGATTCGGATCTGAATTATCATATAAACTATTAATACTAAATACGTGTCCAATTTGAATTCAATCTGACTTGATTTATGATCTTTTTCAATAAAGATATAGTTGTCGAGATTTATTTATTATAAAATAATTTATATTTTTTTATTATATCACGTGTTATAATTTTTAAAAAATATAAAAATAATTATAAAATAAAATTTATTTTTTAATAAAAGAAATTCTTAAAGGAAAAAGCTTTTAAAGTAATTATAATATTACTGGTATGCAATAACCTGTATAATACAAAACTAAAAGAGTTTTTTTACCATTATTCATTCCTCATCCTACTCACATCTATTTGGCCTGTTTTTCATTTTTTAACAAAGTGTGTTTGATCTCTCATCTCTCTTGATTGTAACTGAATCAATGTTATTTTTGTTTAATTTATTTATCGATGACGTTTAGATCTCTCGTCTCTTTCGATTGGCTGTGAATGAAAATTTGTTTATTAGTGTTGTTCTTTTGGCCACGTTTATCAACATTTTTTTTTTATTTAATTTGTATATCAGTGTGGTTTTTCTTTGGCCAACTGCTTATTTGTGTTCTTTCCTTTCGGCCTGAGTTTACTTTTTTTTTTTGGGGGCGGGGGGTAGAGATGCTTTGAAAAAAATATAAAAAATATTAAAATAATATAATTTAAAATTTTAATAAAAATAATATATAAATTTAATAAAAAATATATATTTTTATATTTAATATATTAATAAAAATTTAAGATAATAATATTTTATATTTTATATTTATTTAATACAATACAAACTAGGAGTAAGAAAGACAATAGAAAGAATTAAAAATCGATTTAAAATTATAATATTTAATTCGATTTAAATAGATTTTTTTTAGTTTATATTAAATTTGAATATTAAATATATATAATAAATTTAGATTAAATTTCGAATTAAAAGATAAAAAAATTAAAAAAATTAAGTCAAATTAAATTATATATTTTTATTAATTTTTATATTTTTTTAAATTTTTATAAACTAAAAATAACAATTTTATATCAAAATTTATTTAAATATATTAAAATAATATATAAAAATCAAATTTAAAAATTTAAAAATCAATAAATCAAAACGAATCAAATTAATAAAATTTTATTCTATTTAAATTAAATAAAATTAAAAATTAATTTAAATTTTAAAATTTTATAATATTATATAATATTTAAAAAATTAAATTAAATTCGATTCAATAAATTATTACCCTAATACAAACACAATATTCATAAATTAACAAGTTCAAGTGATCCTAAAAGTTAAAAAATAAAAAATAAAAAAAGGTGATCGTAACGGTTACTAATTTTGGAAGACGAAAAGAAAGCGAGGGCGAGAAATAATTGAAGGATAGGCAGATGCCGTGGGTCCTAAAAATTTGCATAAAGGACAAAAAAGCAACAGATAAAGACAAGGACAACCAGGTCAGATCTCCCTTGTCATTGCGTAGATCTTAATTCTTATCACGACTCCCTGTCCCTGCCACAAAATCCTCCCACTTGCAAATCCAAATCCCAATCCCTTGAACCTCACCATTTCGCCTCCTACTTTTTCTGTCTAATGGAGGGAACCTGTCCCCCTTTTTATTTTTCTTTTTTCATTTATTATTGTTTTCTAAAGGAAACTCAACTGACCTTTTGATGTTTCGGTTCTGTTAACAACCTAAATTTTATTTTGTACATGTCAATAATTATATTATAAATATAACTTTAAATTAAATTATTTAAATATCCATTATTAAATTATCTTTTTCTCGTCCCTACAACCTTCTTTATCATCTTGTCTTGTCTTTTTTTTTTTCTTTCTTTTTACTTGCATCCGTCCTTGCCAAACCCAAAACTCAACTTAAAATTTGTAGTATCCCATATAATGTTAAAATAGAAGGTGAATTTGAGAAAACCAAATGTAGCATTAAAAATTTTAGATTAAACAATTAGGTAAACTGATTTTAATCCTAAATTTGTATATTTTGAAAACACTTTTTCGGAATATAAATGTAGTATCCAAAATTTCATTTTTAAAAATCTCTATGAGTAACCGGATATGAATTGTCGAAAATCTTTTTATATTTTCATAAATGAATTTTTTAAAATTTTTTATGTTACTAGATATACATATCCAATATTATTAAGTAATTTTTGAAATTTTATTTTCAAAAATTTATTTATGAAAATAATTAAAAATTATTGGATATATATTTTTGAAAATTTATACAATATATCATAAATGCATTTTCGAAAAAAAAGTATAAAGTTTTAAAAATGCGTATTTGAAAACTTTTAGAATTTAATGGACATAAATTTCAAAAATCATATCGATAATAATTTTTTTAATTTTTTGTAATATAAACAATCTAAGAACTATGCTAATAGAGTGTAATGAATCACTATAAAATTTTAATACTAAATATGATTGTAATTCTTCATTTACTATTAAAAGGGTAAGATTATATTTTTGAAGTTAACTTTGGAGGCATAAAGATTATGTTTTTATTGTTAGTTTATGTAGATGTAGGATTTGATAATTCAAATTATTTGTAAGTATTTTATAGTAGAAAAGCATTAATTTTTTTAGACAAGATAGGTTGAAAAGATATTAATTTTGTGGTTGTAATTAAAAGCTCTGATTTGTGGGGTTTAGACAAGAAACTTAGGATCAAAATTTCGCATGTGAACATAATAAAAAATATATGTAATAAAAAAATAAGGTAAATATATTGATATTTAATATGAAATTTATTGTGAGATTTATTGGTATTTAATATGAAATTTATTGTGAGATTTCTAAGTTTTCGGATAAAAGGTTCCAAAAAATTTTAAGGGTTTTCATAAATGTATTTTTAAAAAAATTTTAAAAATTTATGGAGATCCATTCTTAAAAAAATTTAAAGGAATCTGAATATATATTTTCGAAAACTTTTAAAAGCTTCAAAATATATATCTTTGAAACTTTTAAAAGTTAATACATTTTCAAAAGTTCTTTTAATTTTTCAAAATGATTTCCAACAATTTAGAAGAGCTTTTAAAAATATATTTTCGGAAGTTATGAATTATGATACTAATTTCATCCAATTTTTTTGAAATTAAAAGATCAAAATAAAAAACAAATGAACTGCCTTTAATTAAAAGTTTTATAATTTGATTTCCCTCGAATTTAAGTTAAATTTTAGGTTGATTCTTAAATTTAAGATTTGAGTTAAGAGCGAACTGAAAAAATACAGGATGTGAGGATGTTTATGAAAAATTGAATTTAATGTGTGAGATATAGCGAATAAAAATGAAGTATTAAAAGTATTATTGGGGATTTATTTAAAATATCCTGTTTTAAACTTATGTTCTTATTTCTTATTTTTTATGATTTTTTTACTTTTTGTTATTAAAAATTATAGAACATCAAATTTATAAACTAAATTAAAATGTATTATATACACTAAAATAAAAAATTTTGTATTAAATTTCGTAAAAATCAACGTAGGCTAAAGATATGTGATGGAGGAAGTAATATGTTATTATTAAAATAACAAAATGTTATTTTATGTTACATTAAAATTAAAATTAAAATATATATTATTTATTTATGGACAAAATGAAATTGGGCTTGAGGCTAATAATCTATGCACATAACTAGCTTATGTGATTGCCCATGTGTAATTATTTAATCAAATAAAATGGTTAAAAAGAGAATAATTTTATTGGAAAGAATTTAATTTTTCCAATCAAATACCTTCTAAAAAGTATAATTTTAGAACTTATTTAGGATAATAATGGTAAATATTTTTATGGAAACGAAGAAAAAAGAAAAGAGCATTCTAAACCAACCAAATGGCAAACGGTCCTTCGAGGAAATTATTCATGTACCAAAATGAAGGGTAGGACCGTAATTATCTGTAAGACTTACGGGTAAATATCTAAAACTTCCCAAAAAACCACTATAAATTGTCTCCCACGACCTCCCCGCAAACCTCAAAAAAAGAAAAGAAAAGAAAAAAGAAAGCCCCTTTGATTCTTAGTTGGTTTGTCTTAGATTCTTTTTGGTTTTCTTAAAAATTTCCCATAGTTTTTGAATTGGTAGTTTAATGAGAATTCTTGTTTAAATTTTTTGGTTTTTATTTGTCAGTTTTTTTTTTTTCTGTATTTGTTTTGGTAGATTAATTGATTTTGATTTTGATTTTTTTTTTTTTTTTTGTGTCTGAGTTTCAGGTTTCGATCGAAAGGTTCAGACAAAAGGGTTTTTTCTTGGAGAGTCAATCGTTTCAAGATTTTTTTTTTTCATCGTGAGTATTAACTTTTCTTCATTGTTACTTATATATTTATTTATTTATTTGTCAATTGAGATTGCTATGTTCTTTTAAGCCTTTAATTTTGTATTCTTTTCCTTGTGTTAATTTTTCTTTTAATTTTTTGATTGATTATTCGTTGTTGATAAGATTTGTTTATCTATTGTTTTAATGAAAGGAAGAGCCTGGACTTTTTTACAATAAAAGTTTGAAAATTCCTTGAATAATAAAAATTACTCAGAAGACATATATATATATATATATGTATTATAATTCATCTATATATACAGGCGTTCGAGAAAGTCATTTCTAAAGCTTGTTAATACTAGGGTTGTAATCGATCTAATCTGAGTTGATACGGTAAGATGTTCAAGCTCGACTTGAACTTTGCTGCTTGAAACTCAACTAAAGCTTGATCAAGTTTTAAATTTCAAGTTCAGGCTTGACTCGAAATAAAAATCGAGCTACTCGAGTTCGTTTGATTAGGCTCGTTTGATAAAAATGAACTCGATTTTTATGCTCAATTTCAAGCTTGATTATATGTTTGAACTCGAGTTCGAGCTTGAATTGATATATAAGGGTAAAATATTAATTTTTTAATTAAAATAAAAAATATATTAAAATTTAAACGCTTGATTAGGTTTGTGATACTTAAACTTGGTTCGCATGACAAGTCGAGTTGCTCAAGCTCGAGCACGACTCAACAGTGATCCAGCCAAACCTGATTAGCTTGCTAGCATTGATGTATCATTTACACCCCTAGTTAATACTGAATATATACTTGTTATCAGCAATATCATGAAACAGGAAATTAAGAGAAAAAGAAAAGAGAAATTGGTAGTTTCATTTAATTTTCGTGATTTGAAATTATGAAATCATACATGCGTGCACACACACGTACTAGTACAAATTAATGAAGGAGTCCTAAAATCATGAAGTAGATAATGCTTTCAAACAGACCTGTGAGAGAGACTAAAACTTCTCAACTTTGCAAGGAGTGAGCTTTGCAATCATGATGCCATTCAATTGACTTTGTAGTTTAAAATGAGATGGAGAAGTTTGGATTAGTTCTGCACTTGTATGACCAAAAGCATTGGAGTTTTGTCCGTGTATTTAATGTAAACAACAGATTAAACAATCTACTAGGAGTATTATTGTGTTAGTTATCTTGTTCAATGAAAATGACAGTGTTTGGAAATGCACAATTATTATTGTTGTAAAGGTTTGGAAATTGAGCTGATGTCTATGTCTTTTTCTTTCTATTTTTGAGAATTGCCAATAAAAAGAGGAATAATATCAATTATTATTTCTTTGCTTGTTTCACTGCCTTGTGGACCGTTGGTTGGTGCATCTGAATTATTTGCATTTTTCAGAGTATCTTAAATGATTGATGCATCATTTGGTTAATTTATATTTGGTTACATCTTAATTATTTGACGTTGTTGTAGTGCTTAATTTTTATTTGGGTGGTTCTATCAGGAAAGACTGAATGATCTAATGGAGTCCAAGGGTGGGAAAAAGAAGTCTAGTAGTAGTAGTAAATCATTGTACTACGAAGCTCCTTTCGGTTACAGCATTGAAGACGTTCGACCTCACGGTGGAATCAAGAAATTCAGATCTGCTGCTTACTCCAATGTGAGTTTTTGTTCTTGAAATTTTCTTGGTTAATATTTCATCATATAAATACTGATAGAATCTTTTAATTGACATTTTCTGATACTTTTTTTTGTGCAGTGTGTCCGAAAACCATCCTGAGTTTTGTTAAGTTCCAACGTAGCCCCCAAAGCCTCAATCACACTGCAATTATATCTAGTTTGTTTACATACTTCCTTTTTCTCTCGTTCTTCCCTCTTTCAACAGCATTTGTTTCTTTTAAACCAAGATGGCCTTCCCTGTCTCTGCAATTGGATTTGAAGGCTATGAAAAAAGACTTGAGATGTCATTTTTTGACCCTGGTTTCTTTATTGATCCTCAAAGGATGGGCCTACGCTCCTTATCCAAATTACAATTGGATGAAATCCTCAAACCGGCTGAATGCACAATTGTTTCTTCACTGTCAAACAATCATGTCGATTCTTATGTTCTTTCTGAATCGAGCCTTTTTGTGTATCCTTACAAAATCATCATCAAAACTTGTGGGACTACAAAATTGCTCCTTTCAATACCTGCCATTCTGAAGTTGGCCAACAACATTTCACTTTCTGTACGGTCTGTGAGGTACACTCGTGGGAGCTTCATATTTCCTGGGGCTCAACCATTTCCATATCATAACTTCTCTGAGGAAGTGGCGATCCTTGATCGCTATTTTCTTAAGCTTGGTTCTCGTAGAAAGGCTTATATTATGGGTGGTTCTGATAAAACAAAGAAATGGTATGTGTATTCAGCTTCTGTACCAATGAGTCATCATTCACATCCAGTGTATACTTTAGAAATGTGCATGACTGGTTTGGATAGGAAGAAGGCATCTGTCTTCTACAAAACACATGCAAGTTCGGCAGCTTTGATGACCGAGCATTCAGGTATTAGGAAGATTCTTCCAAAGTCCCAGATTTGTGATTTTCAGTTTGACCCTTGTGGTTACTCCATGAATTCAATTGAAAAGGATGCAATTTCAACAATTCATGTCACTCCAGAAGATGGTTTCAGTTATGCAAGTTTTGAGGCAGCTGGTTATGATTTTGAAACTGTGAATTTGAATCAACTGATTGAGAGGGTTTTGAGTTGTTTCAAGCCGACTGAGTTCTCTGTATGTTTACATTCTGACATAAATGGAGATGACCTAGGGCAAAGGATCCCACTTCATGTGAGTGGATACTGTTGTGAAGAAAGGAGCTTTGAACTGCTTGGGAATGGCGGTTCAGTCATTTACTACAGCTTTGTTGGTGCTGATGTGTGTGTGTCTCCTAGGTCGATTCTAAAATGCTGCTGGAGTGAGGATGAGAAGGATGAGCAAGTTGAAAGGTTTTGGCCTGTGCCATACCATTTGAGTGCTCTATAGCTTTGGATACTTGACATTAGAAGGTGAATCTGAGTGCAACATTCAATTGTTGAAAGTAAGGAGGAGAAGGAGGAGGATGTGCAACTGAAATTATGTTTAGTTTTTATATTTGTTTCTGTTGTTTTTCTTGAATAAATGTTGTGGGGTTATGTGGTGAGAAGAGGCATATAATATATATAGCCATGCTTTTAAGTTTCTTTTATGCTCCTGTATTTGGGCTATTAAGTGCCAATGCCAGATGGAACTGGAGAATAAATTGTGCTATGTGTTATAATACTTTTCATTGTGTTTATTATCTTTTGTTTTGACTATGAATTAATTGAGTAGACGATATATTGAGACCTTCCTAAAAGTTAGCATTAGCACGCATTACTAGATACTTCACTTTTATAGAAGGAATTTTTTATTTATATTAGCATCATTTTCATTGATGAAATTTATTGATATAATTTTTCATCGATTATAAAAAAATTTAATAATATTATTTCATCAATGATATAAAAAATCTATCGACAATTGTTGTCAGAAATTTGATCAGTAATTTGTTGATAAATTTTTTGATAATTTATAGATAATTGATTCATAAATAATCACTAAATAACGTTTTTCATCAGTAATATTTATTTTTTAATTATTTTAATATATTTTATTTATAATTTTTTTCATTTTATTTTAATTTTTTAATTTATTTTTAAATAATTATATAAATATTAAATATATATAAATAAAATAAATAAATAAACAAAATGCTCCATTTTATTTATAAAAAAATATAAAATATTTTACAAAATTATTTATGAATTTTATTAAATAAAAATACAAAAAATACATATATGTTACAAATTTTGTACAAACATTTGATGATACACGTAAATTAAATAAACAAGTACTTTCAATATACAATAATAAAAATAGTTACAAAATAGGTAAAAAAAAATTAAAATATAAATAGAAACAAGGCAAGTAATTTTCCCAGATAACGAGTTTGGGAAGACTGACGTTTACTTGTACAAGGAAAGCCATGTCAACCACAATGTCGTAATTACACCAATGACAAGCCCCAAATCTCCATTATCAACAGTAGAACCTATGGAGGGAAATGAACAAGTAAACCCATATCAATCATAAGGATCGTTACTTGAATCAAAGTATTGGCAGGATAATTTTTGCAGATAAAAGGAACCTGTATAAGAAATGGTCTACTTCATAATACAATATATGCAAAACTGTAATTTGAGGCAGCTATGGTAGAAACATGGCTGACAGATTTCTTATACATGCTTTAAAGGATCATATCAAAGGCAAATTCACTGTGGCTGGGTTGGGAACGGTCTTAACTTTAAAACAGCAAAATCCAATGTAATATGACCAATTCACCTTTTTATGCCTTAAAATGCATATATTCAAGCTTGGGTACATAAAAGGAAATCAAAGGTGTTGGTGCCGAGCCCCTACCTCGGGGTGTTCTTGGAAAGGCAAAAGAGAAGAAAAGAGCGGTTAGAGGTAAAAGCAGAATGTGTTTTCTGCTATTGCACTTTGACGCAAGTTAAAAAAATTCAGATAAAAAAAAGGGTAAAAAAGAGAAATGGAATAGAATCAACTTACCTTAATGATGCTTGGACCTCCATATTTATATATAAATTATGAGAGATCATTGGGAGACAATAAAAATAATGTCGTATTAATGTGGCACTGAACATATCAGATTGACTTGACATACCCTTATACTCTTTTTGACCATCACATGCCTCAAACAAAAGGATTTGAGAAAATTTTCGAGAACATAACTGTGAACCTGCAGAGAATCTAATATGTGAAACTAACGCTACATTTTCTTGTAGTATAATGAAAACCAATCCTTAAAATGCTCGAGCAGAATTTCCACTATCCTGTTCAGCAATTGCTAATGAGAGTCTAGATAGCATGTTGCCCAAATTCAAGAGGGCTGTACAGATAATCAATAAGATTTACAGCATTAATTTATTGTCCCTAAAACACAGGAGCTTTTCCGAATATTTGTCAGTTCAAAAAGAGTAATCATTGATAAATGGACAATTTTTCAGCTACAGATTTCATTTACCTAGTTTTGTCTCACAAACTCTAATACACACCACCGTCCTCGATGACATATTGCTAGTACCCCAAGAGTCAGCTTTGATATCAAATGTCAGGGTCTACACTAATTCGTGAGGTATTGTCCGCTTTGATTTGCTGCTCACGGTTTTATTCCATAAAAGGCACCTAACAAGATGAAGGGGTGTGAACCCTTATATCCCAAAATCAACTCTAGTACACAATTAATGTGGGATTCATGGCTCTTCTCTAGTACCATGACATCAAGTGTGTGATATGGACTTGGTAGACTAATAAACAACAGATGACAAGAATTATGGAGGCACAATTACAATGAAGAGTGCTTCCAACTGTCTCAAATGTCCTGATTTAAGCATTAAACAAAACACAGCAAAGAAAGATAGACACCTTTGGCACTGATGGAATACGCTTCAGCCTCTATTGCGGAATTCATCATCATCATCAACAAACCGATGCAAATGGGATCCGGGTACTAATTCCCTTGTCACAAAATAGAATACCATACTATAGTGTGTTGACTCAGGAACCTGGTACAAAAACAACATAATCCACTCAACCTACTGATCCATCAATTTAAGATACAACATTACCTGCATCATGAAGACTTACTTGAAAATTAAAGGACCAAAGAGAAAAGCCGCTTTTCTGAAGCAAACTACAAAGACAGAAGAAAGGAGGACCAAAGACCTGTAAAATATACTTCATAAAAAAAGTTGATATTGACAATCCAAGAAAAACTCAAGCAGTACATACTTAGCCTTTTAGGAATAGATGAACCATCAGTTCTGATCCAACAAGAAACCAACCAAACAAACTTGGTCAGGGCCGAATATAGTTTTGATAATTCATAACCATACCACAGATATCAGCCTAGCATGCTCGGTTATCAGTTCATTCATTCAACTGACAGGTTATAAGTTTAAAGTGATTTCTTATTCGTTCTTTTTTTTTTTTTTTTTTCATAGAAAAAGGCAGCTTGCTCATGATAGTAACATTACCATGTTACCCTGATTTGAAGTTCCTTTTACTAAATTTACTGATCCAAGTTAATCCTTCATTATTTCCATTCAAAACATATAAGTAAAAATTTTTGTACTTTCTAGACAATGAAATGACTGAAAATTTCAAATAAATAATTTTTTTTTTTAAAAGAAAATAGAAAGGAAAAGAAAACAATAGCCAGGAAATATAGTGTTTACCTGAAAGCAGAATTGTTCCATTACAACTTGCTTAAGCCTGATTCTGTACTTGCCCAAATTAATCTTAATGAAATTTTTTTACAACTTGCTTAAGCCTATCATCCACATGCTCCACATCTAAACCAATAAACCAAGATCCCAATGAAGCTTAAGCCTATCATCCACATGCTCCACATCTAAACTGATAAACCAAGATCCCAATGAAACATCTTCATTAGCATATTTATGCAGTACATTCCTGAGATAGAGCATAATTATTATCACTAGAGGCAATAACAAAGTTTCGACACTTCTTGAAGCATCTGAGATTAGAACTTTGGAATTGAACATGTGGAAGCCCATGATTCTACAGCTTGACACATGCAACTGGAACTAAAGCTTCTTTGTTTTAGTTGCTAGTTCAGTAATGGGATAGACTAGCTTCCTCTTAGTTGAAGTGCACACATCAACATATCAAATATAACAGGGTTGAAATCAAACCAAAGAGAAAAGAAAAGTATGAACTCACTGATTTATTGATATGTAAGTGGCCTATTCCTTCGCTATAGCATACAGCTGCCCTGCAGCATGTCGAAAATATTTGTTTCCAACTTCACCAAATTTCCAGTACTCAGATTCATGTTATTTCACTTTCCTATTAAATAAAGAGCATATAAATAAGAATAACCAAATATTGCCAATATCTTAATATAAGCTAATTTAGTAAGCACAGCACTCTGCTTACTTTCGAGCAAGAACAGGACCAGACTACCAGACTTCATGCAGCTGATATAAACTCTAGGTTTCTTTCTTTGTCCAGCTAAAGTCATGCCAAGTGTTGCTGCAGTGTATTTAAAGCATATAAACTCAATAAGGAGTGAATTAATTTTATTCAAGGTAGTAGCTAACCAATTTATCATAGATCTAATAACTTTGATTGAAAAAAATTGTCTTAACCTTCCAGACAGCATGCAAGCTCTTGCCTTTAAATTGAAAGGCGATAACTAAAATGTTTATCAACTAAATCCAGTGACACTGAATCACTAAAACATTGTAAATGCATTTCCCTTATGGCACCAACCAACAGTGTTTACAGGAATTTAGCAAGTTGATGACATTAGTCATTATTTCTGTTCCAGGTAGTTAATGTACACTTGCCAGTTGCCACATTTTTATCCCATATTCATCTTCGAAGCCACATTTCCTTCTTTCAACTTCACTTTCTGAGCATTTTTATATTAACATGATTACTTTCAGTTTTCTCATGAACAGATAAAAGCAAAAGGCTTTTAGTTCTTTTAAAACTATTATCATCATCATATTCCTAATAAAACTCGGATAATAAATTCATCTCATTCTAAAAAGGAAATTAAGGCATATTCACAAAGGAATTACGTTATGTACAAAGATTTCTACACATGCAAAATGAAAGAACAAAGTTTTGTTTACCTAGATTTACATGAACATCATCATCAACTTTGACATAAAATTCCACATCCCACAAGGAAACAGCAGTGGCAAAATAAGTTTTTGTCTTGGCTGACTACTCCAGGTAGCCCTCAATGTATTGCTGCTTTTATTATGAACAAGGCCCGTTAAATATTTTTCTATGGTCTATTCACACTTACAAATACATTAAGATTACTGGATAAAAGTAACCACTAATAACAACAGAAAGAATGGGACAGAACAGAAGTATTACCAATCTCAGAAAATCTCCATGCACCCTTTCCTGGGCTTCAATGGCTTTATCAAGAATTCCACCTGATGTTGAACTGCAGAAAAGGCCAACCAAATAATTCAGTTTTCTACTTCTTACTTTACGCTCAAACAGTTAACCAACACATGAGAGTTCTTCACTAAAGAATCATTGGAACTTGCAATTTTTGTGAAGATAAAACAATCAGACTCAAGTTAGTTGGCAACATTAAGCAAGAAGCTTTTACATGCAGTTGCTGGAGAAAGTATAGCAAATAGCAAAGTGTTTTAGAAGGATTAGACAGTATGGGCAGAAAAGGAGGAA